CTTCTCCTGGGGATGTAAATTAAAGGTTGTTGGTTTGAATCCAGATGAAAGGTCGTAAATTTAGAAGAGACAAATTAAAAGGACTAACCCATCGTTAACTCCATGCAAACAAAAAGATACCGGGTAGTTAGTTAGAATCCTGATGAAGAGTTTGTGGGTTTGAATCCCGTATGGCACTAAAGTGTAGAAACTATCATGGCTAATCATATAAAATTTTTTTTAACGGTCTCGCTCAATGCAAGGCCAATTATTTTTGGCCACTTCTAGGCATGGAGTTAGAGGTACTTAAGTGAGTATAATGTAGGTATGTCAGGAGATGGCGATGGACCTTTGTTTTGAAGCTTTGTGGATTGTTATATCAAGTTATAAATTATCAAAATTCATTTCCATAACAATTATAAAGTTGTTACAAATTTTGCACCAACAAATTTCTTTCTAGTGCAGCAAAACTGCCATACATACATCCTTCACCCTTAAGATTGTGTTTTTACGACCCTGACCGATTTTCAGGGCTCAGTTTTAATAAGAGTGTAGCCCTCAGACTGACCTTTAGCCTTAGGCTATTCCAGGAAAAAGAACAAAACAGGGTCATTTGTGTTATCATAGCATTTACTCAAATTATCTCTTCAGGCTTTAAAGTTTTCCATAAGGAGGGCCTACATGGGGGTTTAAGTGGTTACAAGTTTCGCAAAATTGTTGCCTCTGTTACGAATTACATTAAATTCTCAGAGCTGATTATGACTTTACGCTTTGCAGCTAATGTACTATTACTAATTATGTTGATTTTTCGGGAGGCTGCCTACGGATTACGAAGACTGAAATATCCTGATTACGCCTTCCAAAAAAGGGCATGCAGGCCCCCACATCCATGCTGACTGACAATAACAACAGTGTTAACTCAGTAACTAACAGCTGTTTTTATCACTCTTTATCAACCAATACAAATTTGGTGCAAAAAGGCTACTACTAGTACTAGTACTCAACATTAGGAGAGTATTCTAGTTGTAACTTAATAAAAAATTATACAGTTTTTCGTTCTCATTTGAATCTTCCTCAAAGGCCTTGAAGACTACATACATCAATCACAATAACATTGCCTTTGCCATTATTATAATGCTGACCTGTTTACATATTAAGTAGTAGTAATTTTATGCTAATGAGCAGCACAAACATATGTTGTCCATGCTTTTGTCAGAGTCTGCATTATTTCATGACGGGTGCTTCAGGTAAGTAGAGGTTAAAACTTTCTAGTCTCCTTTTCTTTATGGTGTTTGAAGTGACAAGACGATTACTAATACTAGTATATCTTTCTAGTATTTTAAATGGCTGATGTACATGTGTTGCTGGTGTGTTACGCCAAATGGCGGTTATACCGGCTATAGCGATACAGACAGTAGTGTTTTTGTAGAGGCAACTTTGCAATGACTGATATGAAATATTAACAACAATAATAAATCTTGTCAAATTTAAGTTTAGCAGGTGTAGTTTACAAGGAAAATTCCCAGTTGTATTTTGAATTGTGTATTGTTTCTGTCCCAGGGGTTAAGCCCTTTGTGTTCATATACTGACTATCATTAGCTAGTTAGGCCAAACAGCTGTGTATCAGCGATTGAACGACTCAATCTTGGCCACAACATTGCTGCCATTAGGGGATCGTAGCACCTCGGCTAGTGCTGTGTACCTAAACCCACGCTCAGATTCAAGTCCAGAGGTTTAGGTTGCAAATTGAGGTCCGGACCTAAACCCAGGGCATATACAAAATACGGACTACCATAGTTTAGAAACAAGATATGTTGTTTGCGGGGCACGTCTTGGCAACACTGTGGCCACATAACTTACAGAGTTGGCTGCCTCCCAAACTGTGTTAAGGTCGAGGCCGACAATCGTCCTTCAGTTGATCCCACCAGGTGTGTTGTGCATTGTGCCATGTGGTGGGGATTGGCTCTCTCAGTAGCCTATGGTAATTACTCTCTAGCCTCTACCAGGCTTGGGGAGGCGGCTGGAAAGAGTAGAAATCGGCCAAATAGAGAGATAAGCATGCCAAGGGAGTTTGTCCGTTGAGAGAACAGTTTGCCGCACCCCAACTGTTCTCTCGATGGACAAACTCCCTTGGCATGCTTATCTCTCTATTTGGCTGATTTCTACTCTTTCCAGCCACCTCCCCAAGCCTGGTAGAGGGTAATTACTCTCAGCAGGGAGTTAATGTGGGTAGTGTGGCATAGCGGTAGCGAAGGCTCATGATCAGGACCAAGAGGTCGCGGGTTCAAATCCTACAGTACCCATGTCACCGATCTTGTGCCCTTGGGAAAGGCACTTATACATGACTTTCCTCACTTCTAGCTTTGGTTAGGGATGTCCCTCAAATAGGACTTTAAATGGAGGTCCCGTGTTTGGGGAGAGCCATGTGTCCCACGCACGTTAAAGAACCCACCGCACTTACCGAAAAGAGTAGGGGACCTTCCCGGAGTGAGTGGTTCAAACCTTGCAGTCTGGTCTTACACAGCTTGTACATGTACTTACAATACATTGTACAAAACTGGTGTGTTACGCCTAAAGGCGGTTTACTGGTCATGCGAAACAAACAAACAATGGATGGAGGCGGCATTTTACCTTTGGGCGGCCCGGCCGCTAGGAGAGTGATTTAGTCAGGCTAGCTCTCCAAGCAGAGGTTGTGGGGGAATGATCGTCACCTTTTTATATATGGCCGTTTTTTTTTGTCGCTACCCCCACCAACGGTGGCCGGCGACCTTCTCTGGCTTAAATGGATACTGCCTGGCCAAATTGATACTGTTTTTTTGCCACCGAAAGGGATCTGCTTGAAAATTTAGTCAGGCTAGCTCTCTCATTGATCAGCATGGCCAGGCCAGGGGTGATACTGCCCGAACAATATGGCCTGAAAGATTGGGAGCTGGGCACACCGTATCTTGTTGGTCAAAGGATCACGCCACTTGCATGACCATTTAGCCTCCTTGGGACCTGGTGTCAAAGGTATCAAGTTGGAGTGCTTGTGCAGCTATAAAAAGAAGTCAAACACAGTAGTTTTTTTTTTTTTTCTACTAGTAGTCTCTTAATAGTTATCAGTAGTTCTATGTGTACGTATTACTTGTTTTTATACAAATGTTTCTTCTGTTCATGCAATTAGCCTTCGGGCATGAATTTGCAATAAAACTTTCTTCTTATAAATGTCCAGTTGTTACAGTACATAAGAATGGATAGGCAAGACTATTGCCTAACTTTTGTTGGCTACTCTGAGTAGTAAATACATTGCTTACTACTTTGTAAAATAAGAGGTTAATCCGGATATGTCCCAATTGGCATGTTGCAAGGGACAGTACCAATTTGTTTGGTATAGCCTATAGGACATGGGTCTTAATTATGGGTTCTGTTTTGTGCAGACATAAATTAAGGTAACATTTAAGATGAATTGTTTGTCCACACATGTGGTGCATTTCACACCTTATAATTACTGTACATGTACATGTATAATGAAATGTCTAGACTCTGTTATTGGTGACGTAATGTTCGTCCTTGAAACAATTTGTTGTTTTGGGTCACCAGAAAAAAGCCCTGGGTGCATAATGTATCTACTTATTAAGGGCAGTTTTAAAAGATTTCATAAACTCCTTTTCTTCGATTTGTAAGAAGCTGAAATTCGAAATCTTGACAAAGACCACCACATATATACAGGACCGAGGAAAAGTGGTCATCTCAGACAAGTTTTTATACAAAAGCATGGTGACAAGATAAGACAGACTGACAAAAAGAAATGAAGAAAATTTTCCACCTATTTCACAATAGGTGGCCCCATTGACTAAGCCTGCGCCAATTTTTACATGGTGCAAACTTAAGAAGTTGTCATGCTTTCGAAATTGGCAAACTGGCTGATTACATCAAGATTTCTCACTTAAGTTATCAACAAAAAAACGCTTTAAAAAACACCCTTGAAAATAATAACAAAAGATCTCGATCAAATCATGTGGTCAGATGCAACCAGAAATGGCCCCAAGTGACCCATACATGTAGGTCATCATCTGTTTTGTGCTCTTAGTAGTGTGGGTCAGTGGTACGTTGTTTCCATGAGAAAATTTGAACAATTTCTTGAGTTGTTGCGTTGTGGCGTCCAAGTCATAGCCAGTAATTAGGCCATGTGTGGTCCAAGATAGTGCCGGTCGCAGTTCGTCGAATCAGACAAGTGTCCTCATGAAAGTTTTACTTTCAAATTGTTAAGCCATATTGTATAAGTTGGATCAGCTGTATAGATATCACCGAAGTCTTAAAAAAAAAAAAAAAAGATAATCCCTACCTATCGGCCCTACTTTTTTTTCAGGACTGAAGCAAGAAACACAACATTTTCATTTTTTTTCCTAGGCCTTACTGTAAAGAAAGAACAAATGAAAGTAATAGGTTGTTTTTGCAGTTTTAATTCTACGTAATGCGTTGTAGCCACTTGGAATGTATTGTAAAACGTAATCGAGAGGTTTCCTGAATTCAGCGAAATACATACTATCCAGCCCTCAAAATTTAGCGTAGAGCATTGCTGGGACCCCCCATGCAGGCCCCAGAAATGTTCTTGTGTTGAGTTGTACCTGACCTGAAGTAACCTGTTCTTGGGTTACCTTATACAATATACTTACCTAACGGTAACACTAGAACAGACACATTAGTTGTATAAGATTTTTCCTGGAATAGATCTATATAATGGAGATAATCATTATTTATCGAAATTAACTTAATTAACAAGATTAGCCTTATAGGTCATCGGGGGTCAATAACCTCAGTCTGCTCCCGTTTATTTATAGAAACATCATGTGATCACTAAGGATGAAACTTAATGGAAAGTTCCAAACTCAGTAACCAATCAGCTCACAGATGCAGCTGGGATTGGCTGGCAGATGTATTGTGTAAACTCGCTGCTAACCAATCACAGATGGAGATTCTGAATCCCTCCCTGAAGCTACTTTTCTGTATGTTAAACCTCTATCTGTTTCACTGATCCACAGACTCACAGAGCTAGGATGGACCCGACAACACCAGACATGACCACAGCGAGGGGCACCTCGGAAAGTGACGGGTGCACGGCTGAAGACATGAAAAATGTAAGTGTTATACTTATGAATAGTACTTCAGGGTTTTTCCTTATGATCTTTGTGGAAAAGAGCAGCTTATCCATGGGGAATTTTGAATCCCCAGTACCGTATGAACCCATATCACCTGTCAATGCACAGAGAGCGGTGCACAGTCGATGAAAGATATGAAAAAGTATTATTAGGAAAGTCTTTGTAGAAAAAAGCTTTAAGGGAATATTTCCCCACTTCAATGTGCCTGTATATACATTTTGTGTACTTAGTACAGTACAAAATTATGTCTTTGTCACGACTAGCGGAAGATAGTCTGTGTTACTCTAGCCTCTGTAGCACGCTTATAAATCTGGGGGTTTCGTGGTCTTCAGCTGTTTTCTGATTAGCCCAGTTCTAAAAACGGGGGTAATTCAACCAGGCCGGCTATGTTGTCTATATGCAATCAGAAAATAGCACATAAAAGATCCCAAAGACCCTGAAGACCCCCAGTTTTTGGCATGCTATGGAGGCTAGAGTTACACAAGCTCTCGGCCAGAGGTTAATGACCCCTACCTCCGGCGGGCGACCGCCAGGAGCGCAGTTTAGTCAGGCTACAGTGGAAGAGTAGCTCATCTGTTCATTGATCGAGCTCGCATATGCATGTCAAACTGATTTGGAATCACTTCGAATTTTTCAACGACTTTTTTTCTTAAACTTTGTATAAAGCAAGATAGAACACATAATTGTCACTTGAATTTGAAACACAACTTTCGCAAAGTTTAAAATGTTTGTAGAACCAGAAGAATTTTTTTTTCTTTTTTTTCCAGATGGAAGCTCTGAGCTACATCCATATGATCATGTCAGCTATCAGGTAAGTTCTTCTCACATCCTTGTCATTGAATTGAGAGTAAAAAGATGAAGTTAAAAGTACATGTGGTGATCGTCTATCACTTTTCTAAGGCAGAGGAAAAAAATGTTGTGTTTCCTGTTTAGGTCCAGAAAAAATTAGGGTCAGTAGGTAGGGATTATCTTTTTTTTTGTTTCTTTTTTTATTAGACTTTGTCGATCTCTACTGTGATCAATTTAGTATACAATACAGTTTAACAAGTAAAACCTGCATGAGGACATGGAGCTAGAAAAGGTTCATCAGCTCGAAAAATTCATGTCCCTTGCAGGGGTCCACCAAGAAAAAAGCTAGGGTCAGCATTTTTTTTTAGGTTCGGTCAGGAAACAGGATTTTTTCCCTAGGCCTAAGGGCAGTATAATTGGTAACTGACTACTTTGCACACCAGTTTAAGCTATACTGGTCTCACTGCTGTACTTTGAAGCATGTTGTCCCAAACATAACTGAGTTTACATGCAAATCTTTCTGGCAGTTTCATTCACTGAATACACAGTACATTGTTCAATTTCGTTCACCTTAGTTGACCATGTTCAATGTCATTGACCCTTAAGGTGAGTTACTGTAAATAACTTTATGTTTGCAGTAGCTAAAAGCTTTCAGTCTGAAAAAAATTGTCATGTTCACAGATCTATTGTACGTTCGCGGTAGCCAAGGACAGGTGCATCAAAAAGAAAGTCGGCGAATTATTTGTTTACGGTAATGATAAGTTCACGGTACAGAAGTGACCGTGAAAACCACAAATACCACTAGTAACGAAAACACAATGATTTAAGGGTAGTTTACTTTGTCTTGGACTTTGTCCCTCCCATGGTACCATTTGGAGCTATCACGTGACGCTAGACTTCACCTTGGTCATTCACCTGAGTTTACCTTTTTCAATGTCATTGACCTTTAAGGTGCAGTTGAGTTGGTTTACCTTATCTGGGACTTTGCCCCTTACTCAATCTCAATCTCACTATCCGTTAAACACCTCGTGGTCCCCGTTGCTCGAGGGTTGGACGTGGAATGTTGCCCTGGCCTGATTGCTGCTCTCCAGCTGGTTCTGTCCTGTGGGTCAGCCTTTTGAAGCTTCAGTTTGCAGATATCTTCTTTGACGTTATCTACCCATCTCTTCTTTGGGCGGCCACGTGGGTTCTGATCCCCAACAGACATAGACATCTTGGCCAGTTCTCTGTGTTCATTCTCTCTAAAAAAAAAAAGTGGCCGTACCACCATAGCCTGTTGTAACGCATGACCCCCTTGCCTTAATTTGAACTACAGTCAAACCAATAGGACCAAGGAAAAGTGGTCTTCTTAGGCAAGTGGTCTTCTTATACAAAAGCAGGCAACATGCCGAAACAGAAAACAAGAAAAACGCAGCAAAATTTCCACCCATTTTGCAATAGACTGTCCCATATATGGCCAGCCAGTTGGTGCTCTTTTACATGATTGTACATTCTGCAAATGATGTAAAAGTCAATGGCAAACCAATTCCATCCAAAGATTCATCAAAAAAACATTTTCTGACACACACTTGAAAATGCCACGGTCGTCTTAGGCAGAAATCGGGCCATGTGCAAACCCAAATAGACTCAGTGGTCGAAATACTTTTTTTCAGTGCTCTGCAATATTGCAGAAGAGTCGAAATTTTGTTTTGCAATTTGGGAATACTTTCTGCAAATACACAAGCCTCCATACTACAACCTTCTCAAACCAATAAATGTATTTTTTGCATCAGCGCCTGTTTTTCCTTCTGCAAAATTGCAGGTTGTATATTGATATTTTAACGTTAACTGTTACCTACATGTGTAGTGTTACCTGGTCCCCAGAGCTTGAATGCCCTCAAATATTATCTGAACGGTGCTTTTCCTTGTCCCCAGAGGTAAGAGCCATGCAAATCCAGTGAATATAGACGTAAAAGTTGACGTTTTTGCACGTAAAAAATTTTTCTTCTGCAATCTTAAATCTATCTGCAGATTGCAGACTGCAGACAGGTATTTCGAACACTGTAGACTTACCTTTTTCAATGTCATTGACCTTAGTTTACCTTGACAATGTTCAATGTCATTCACCTCTGAGTGAGTTTACCTTGTTTCGCATCATTGACCATTACCTTAAGTTCAGTGTCAGCCACCTTGGTTAACCCAAAGTATGCAAGGTAACTGAGTTTATATGAAAATACTGGCTGTGTCTTTACATGTTGTACATTGTACCTTATTTGTTGTCATTTACCTTGTTCAGTATCATTTACCACAGTTCAGGCAATATATTTGAGTTTAGTTTAGTTTACATAAAAGTTAACTTTTGGCAGTGATTAAACTTGTCATACACCTAAAGCTTTGCATAATACATGTACATGTACCTTGTTTGATGTCATTTACCTCGTTCAGTATCATTTACCACAGTTTAGGAAATATATTTGGGTTTACATAAAATTTAACTTGTGGCAGTGTCACTACCCTTGATTAAACTTTACCAAAAGTTCAGTGTCAGTCACCTAAAGCTTTGCATATACATGTACATGTATCTTGTTTGGCGTCATTTGAACTTTAGTTTACCTAGTTCAGTGTCATTTACTAACTCCCAGTTTAGGTTATATATTTGAGTTAATGTAAAATACTTTTGGCAGGTCACTTACCTTGAGATTAAACTTTACCAAAAGTTCATTCACCTGAACTTACCTTATTCATATGCCCTCATATGCCCTTTTACATAGAGCGTAATCGGCCGTTTTAATTCTACGTAGAGCGTAGACGGACAGCTCTTATTCAACTTAGAGCGTAATTGGTGCATTTTGCGTAGAGCGTATTGGTTGTTTTAATTCTACATATTGCGTTGTAGCCACTTCGAATTTATCTTAAAGCGTAATCGAGAGCTCTCACAATTTAGTGTAGAGCGTTGTCGGGGACCCCCCCCCCCATGCAGGCCCCCACTGAAGTCAGTGAAAACTGTCTACTCTATTGTTTACACAATATGCACAACTGACATAAAATACCTTCTGCAGCTAGTGTCACTCACCTAAGGTTCAGTGTCATTCACCTGTTTTGTGTTGGGGTAAAATAGCCTCAGGGGATTATGTAGGGTTAGCAGGAAGAAAGGCTCTAAATGATACGACTTTCCCCACTCCACCCAGGTGTAAAATGGGTACCTGATCATGACTT